TGCTCCCCCCTTGTGCTTGTATAATACAGGCTTTCATGTTATACGATTGCGTTCGGCATCCCCCAAACGGGATACCATTTCGGCGCCGAAGGGGGACACGTTAGTTATATTTCTGCTGTCCGTATCTTTTTTGATAGCTAGTAGTGAAAAAGTAGAGAGCGAGAGATTGGGATCGACTATACTTTTGTCTCTCTCTCTCTTTCTCTCTCTAGATGCTGATACGAAGAGAAGAGAGATTTGACAGTTGACACTCCCTAGACATGTGCACGGTAAATACTTGATAGACAGGAGTCTCTTATGTATAAACTAACAATGCAGCGCTAAACAACAAACATACTAACTACAATGACCCATCGCACCGCCATACTAACGCCCCTTCCCTAACCAACCAGATAAACAAACAGACAAACAACTAACCAACCATTCTTCCATCCCTTCCCCGCAAATGCCTTTCTTGCATTCTAATACAACAACTCTTTACTTGTATCTCCCCCCCTCCCCATACTATACTTACATCAACTTACATCAACTTACAACCTACTCTCCCATCCCCTCGCGCCCTCACCCTCCCATCTCTCAGGCCAAACCTTACCCAGCGCCTCCCAGATATGTCCCACAAACTCAATCTTGAGTCCGCGGACAACCTCCTCAGGCAACTCACTAGCATCCTTTCGATTGCCCTCTGGCAGCAGCACTCGCTCCACGCCTGCGCCCAAAGCCCCAATCAGCTTCTCCTTGATGCCTCCCACAGGGAGAACCCGGCCACGCAGCGATATCTCACCAGTCATGGCCAGCGTCGGTGGAACAGGCTGATTGCTAAAGAGCGAAATAAGACCAATGGTATGTGCCAGGCCGGCAGACGGGCCGTCTTTGGGAATCGCTCCGCTGGGACAATGCACGTGGATGCTGCGGTTCTTCATAATGTCCTCGTCGTGCGTCGTGCTGAGCCCCAGGTCGAATGCGTGCGCCTTGACCCACGTCAGAGCAACTTCTACACTCTCCTTGAGCACGTCGCCCAGCTTGCCCGTCAGCTGCACGCGTCCTTGGCCTGGCATGTCTGCAATCTCGATGAACAAGATGGATCCTTGGCCGCCCGTTGAGTAGGCTACCAAGCCTGTGATTACACCCGGTCGCGCAGACTGCTCAGTTACTTCTTGGGCAAACTTTTCAATTCCCAGTGTTGCTTCGACATCTTCTACAGTCACCACCGGAGAGTAGGCCGCTACCGTGTTTGTGTCTTTGGCTGTCGCATACTCGACTGCCTTGGCCCGGCAGACGGACCCAATCTCCCGCTCCAGATTCCGCACCCCAGACTCACGAGTGTACGATGTGATGATCTTGTCAAGCACCTCGGTCGGAATCTGAACGTGCTCCGTCTGCAGTCCATTCGACGTAATCTGCTTTGGAATCAAATGTCTCGAGGCAATGTGTCGCTTCTCAAGCGTTGTGTACCCCGACAGCTGGATAGTCTCCATGCGGTCCAAAAGCGGAGGTGGAATTGTATCCAGCGAATTGGCCGTGGCAATGAAGAGAACCTTGGACAGATCAATAGGGATATTCACGTAGTGATCTGTGAATGTGTGGTTCTGCTCCGGGTCCAGCACCTCGAGCATCGCTGCGCCAGGATCGCCGTTGTGATTTGACATGCCAAGCTTGTCAATCTCATCCAGCAGGAAGACGGGATTTGCCACTCCCACCTTCTTCAGTCCATTGACAATAAGCCCGGGCATGGCTGCGACATATGTCCGGCGATGGCCTCGGATCTCGGCCTCGTCACGAACACCACCGAGCGAAATGCGGTGGAATTTGCGACCGAGTGCAGTAGCAACCGATTTGGCTAGTGATGTCTTTCCTACACCAGGCGGGCCGACCAGAAGCATGATGGGCGATTTGTCAACCATGCGCTTCTTCTCCAAGAGCCGCACTTCGGTCTCCGACGGCTCCTTCGCTCTAGTTGCTGGTTGCTTGGCCTCGCCCTCGCCCTCGCCGTCCGCATTAGGGGCTTCGGTCAAGGACCGGATTTGATCGTCAATGCTCTTATTTGCCTGCTCCTTCAACTTGAGCACGGCAAGATACTCGAGTAGTCTCTTCTTGATCTTCTCCAGGCCGTAGTGGTCGTTGTCAAGCTGCTTCTTTGCTCGGACCAGCGTGTTGGAATCCAGCTGATCAACCGTCATCTTGCTCCATGGGATCTCTGCAAGGTTCTCGAGATAGTTCCGGCACACCTGATACTCTGCCTGCGCTGGATTCATCTTCTGTAATCTTGCCAACTCGCGCTGTGCCACTTTGTTGGCCTCTGCTGATAGCTTCGCGTCCTCGAGTCTCTTCTTCAGCTCATCAATCTCGTTCGGCTCATCTTCACCCGCCTGCTGTTGTCCTCCTCCAGGAAACCCGGCAGGGAAGCCAGGAGGCATACCGCCCATCTTGGTCCGCCTCTTGAGAGCTTCTTGTTGTAGCTTTCGTAGTGTGTCCATGTCCAACGTGCCGTTGGATGATTGTGTAGTCGCAACTGTCATGCGCGTGTTGCCTTGGATGTTGCTGATCTGCCGTTGCAGAATCTCAATGACCCGGTCAACCCTCTCCTTGACATCCACAGATGCCAGTACGCGCAACGTCTCTTCGTGTGTGGTATCCACCACATTGGCCATGAAGTCGGCGAGCAGGCCAGCGTCCGATAAGTCCTTTCGTGTGATGAACATTTCCAGTCTCCGTGCGACAATAGGCGAAAGCGTAACTTGTGGTGTGCGTGGTAGTATGGCGGATAGTCGGACTAGGGCGAGTAGCTCGCGTGACAACTGCTTGAGGAGGTTGAACTGGTTCAGGAGGTCTGCACTCGCAATGTCGACTGAAGGTTATTAGCTTGCCATATACACATGGGTAGAGACAGGTGTAGACATACTGTATTCCTCAACAGCCGCCAACTCTCCCTCAAAGTACGGCCTCTCTTGCACAACATCAACAACCTGGACTCGCTCGAGCCCCTCGACAATCAAGCTCAAATCACCCTGCTTACGGCCCTGCACTCCGCTGACTTTTGCCACGCAAGCATACCCAAAGATATCCTTCTTCGTCGCCAGTATGGGATCGCTCTCGTAATGCGTCTTGTCGTGCTGATGTCCATCCTCAATCAACAAGTTGCCATCCGGACCCAGTGTATTCGACTTGAGCGGCACACACGCGACCGTGATGGCGGCATCCGGCTTAGCCGTCGGACTGATACTGTATATCTTTGCGAGAATAGCAGCGACATCGGAACGATTGGTGATCGGTATCTTGAGCGTTGTACCAGGCAGCACGGCGAGGGGTGGCGCAAGCGGGATGAGTGGGAGCACCGTCGTGCTCGTCTTGGACGAGCCCTTGCCCATCATGACGTTTGCTCAATAAGAAAAACAATGACGGGAAAACTGAAATCAGGGAATTCCCAACGATGAGGAGTGTAGGAAAAGTGCCCAAAACCGACAATAGCCAGTTCGTTTGGGGTTCGCGTCGGTGACGTGCGGAGTTGCTACCGCTGGGATCAGTGGCGGGAGGGTGCGGACTCTCTTTCTTCCCCCCCTTAAGAAACGGGATCCAAGGAGAGCAGCAACCGAACCCCAGAGCTGAACGGTACAGCGATACAGAAAAGGCTGAAGAGTGCGCGCGCGCGTGTGTGTGTGCGAAATGTATAGTAAACAAGAAACAAAAAAGCAATTCTGGTTGACACCCAATATGTGCCCTGCCAACGATAAAGTACTCGTCCTCACACAAATAAAAGACGGACACGATGGGGATGATGCGGTGTGCTTCCAGAAGATACTGTCTCCTCTCTCTCTCTCTGTGTGATGATCCTGCCGCCGCCGCTCTGCGCATCTCGTCGCGGCATCACCACGGACCCTCTCTCTCCCTCTCTTCCTCCCTCGTTCCCTCGCTCCCCAGTGCCAGGCCGAGGTTAAACGTGCCGACGAACGAATCACGTCCGGCGCGTCGTCGCCCAGACCGTCGCAATCTGATAAGATGACCTCCGCACTTCCCGCACCCTCCGTCCCGCACTTTGGGTTCCCCTCCCCCCTCCCGTTGCCTTGCAGCATCCAAACACGTGAACGTTTGTTCGTATAGTTAACTACACGCATACGTATGCATCTTTGTATTATGGGGGAAGGGGGGGGGGATGCTCCGTGATCGGATGCAGAGATCCGCGCTTCTTTTCTTTCCCTTGCTTCATGGATTGGCAAACCCAAAGGGGATATTCTGTACGCTGTGTGGTACGGCGTTCCGCCACTTGTAATCACTCATGCATATGGCTACATATACGGACTCACTGCTAGGATAACAAACCTCTCTATTATATATTTCTGTTTAAGGATTCACATGTGTCCAATCCCCCTCGAGGTATTTCTAACCTACCTGCATAACCAATGCCACCCCCCCTCAACCCCGCTGCAAAACGCATTCAAAGAACCCGTCTAGTCATTGATTCCTTGCCCCCATACATTCCGTTTCCTAGCCCACCATGAGAAGTTGGATACATCAAAAACAATCAAGTGATGCACACTTGTCACTACTACACTCACTTGCACAATCGGCTTCCGGTCCTGATTACAGCACGCTGCAAGGCTGGGATAGTAAAGCTTTGCCCAAAGCGCTCTAAGCCTCAGCCACGAAGAAATCTCTCCAAATCTTTATAGTGTTGCACATGACACCAACCAATCTCACTGTCCTGCTTTCTTCAAAAAGAACTTGAAGCATTGCCAGATGTGCGCAACAACGCCTTTAAGATGACTGAAATCCATTAATTTGCTCGGCCATATTGGGCAGCTGATATCAAAGCCTTATCGCTACTCTAGGCTACTTTGTGATCTTGTGGTACTATTGAATCCAACGCATACAAAGCAATAGGCGCAATGTGCATGCACATGAAGAGGATTTTGATTCATTAACAATAACTAGTGTTTGTAGATATCAAATATAACTATCAGCTTGATAGCAATGCGTGCGACATATGGATGATTTATTTACATATATTATCCTGTACAACTAAAAACAACAAAGCTACTTCCATGTTCTTAATGCACCCTTGTCTAGCAGCAGCATCGCGATCTCTTTGTGGCC